CTTTTAGTTTGAGGGTTTTGAAAAATGTTTATATTATAATCATGCCATGCATATATTTAACAGTACAACAGAAGCATTTTTCCATGTTAGTAAACAGTCTTCACATTATGACTGCCAAATATTCCATGACTGCACCTGACTTGTTCAATGTCCAGCTACCATTAGACAACCAGGTTGTCACTTTTTTTCAGGAGCCCACTAGCATTTGCATCATGAAGGGAAATGTCTCTAAAACTGGGCCTGCATCCTCTGATCTTCATCGCTGCTGATTTGACCAGTGCTTGCCTTGCTGGCTGAACGGAATTAGCTCCTCAGCTAACAGTCCAGACTCGACACTCAGCTGCAGCTGCTCCTGAGCTGCGGTGTGGAAAGGCACCTTCTCCACTGTCTGGCCCACTGTGGCTTTCATGGCAAGTGAGAAACACTGAGTTTCCAGTACTAGTGAATCAGCGGGACCCACAGACACATATCCTGACCCTTGTTCCCTCTCAAATGTCACCATAACACATGAGGAGCCTCTGAGGAAGGCAGTGAGGAGCAAACTGCAGTATAAAAGGAATCCGATCTAGTTTTGCACTATTTTCAGCACTGGGGTGCAAAACTTATTTCCTCTTGTTTGTTTCATCTTCTCAAACACAATGAAAACATATCATCATCATGATTTTAACCTAATAAGTATTATCCAGGAGAAACCCCAGCAAGATTTAATTTAAGGTCAAAGAACATGGTAGGGAAGAGGGAAGCCATCATTACTTGGACACATTCCAAAGTGGTTAATTACATTTTATCTGCCTAAATTATCTTGTTACTTTAATCAGATATGATAATAATCATCATTTCTTATCTCTGCTTGCTTCAGGACTGCTGATTCAATTACTAGCACTTCTGTATTACTAATTGAAGATTTAGGCAAAGAGCAGTTTCTCTTCTTTTGTGTCTTCTTGAGAAGAATCCCCACTAGGTGGAAATGTGCAAACTCACAGAGAAAAGAGATGGGGAGGAGGAAATTGACAGAATTGTTCATTTACAAAAGGATGCTGTGTGGGATTCCTTTAATCACTAACACCCCTTTTGTATTTTTAATGGTTTAGGTTGCTTTCATTTCATTTTAGACACAAATTTTTAAAATTAAAGTTGCTGCATTAAAACAAGACAATTTTATTTGAAAATAAATATTCAGATAGTGGTGAGGATGCAGCTAGAAGTCACTGATAGAAGTATTTTGTTTGGCGCTTGTCAAATTTGACAAAGACAAAACCTCAGGATCTTGTTACAATGGGTTCTGACTCAGCAGAGCTAGGCTGGGGCCTGGGTCACAAGGTCATGATGCAGCTCCACACACCGCACTGGGCAGTGAGCCTCTGGGTGATTCTCTGAACTACAAGGCACAGGTGGTTTTTAATATAAACAGAGCCCACAACTAGCCCTGCTCAAGCCTATTACCAAGAATTACTTGTTTGGAGCTATTCTCCCTCTCCCTATTCCAATTCAAAACTGTTTCAGGTTTTGAAAATGCAGAGCCTATCATGTGCACCTTTATTCAATCATTTTAATTTACCTTCCTACACTTTTCCCATTCTTATCAAAACAGTTCCACTTTCTTTGACCTTTTAAGTAGGAATTAAAGTAAAACATTAAAGTAAAAATTTATCAATAAGACCCTAGCTGTCAATCCTTCTTTCTAGTAGTACACAGAAAAAAATCACTTCCCTTGCCCTTAATGAGTATTTTAGGGCTTACTCTAGTCATTTGGGTAATTGTGGACTGATACTAGGTTTAGAGATTATTGTGCCCTTTGTCTGTCCCTCTCTCTCTTCGTGCCACACCCCTCCCACCATGGGCATCTGTATTTGGTCACTTCACTCACTCTCAGAAGGTGGGTTCACTCCTTCAACGACTGACCACATGCCACAAGCAAGGCAGTGTTCCAGACAGTGGTCATTATCAGCAGTGAATAAAACACTCCAATCCTAGTTGACAGCTGTGGCCAAATGTTGAACAAGGAATCAGATCAAAAGCTGTACTTAAAAGTGAATGCTGGACTATCCGAAGACTTGGATTTTTTTTTTCCTCTTAATAGTCTTCCCCCCAAAGAGTTCATGTGTTATACCTCATCATACTGGACATTCCCAAACCTATATACCCAAACACTTCAGGGCCTATGTTTCACACTGATTTTAGGATACAGCATAACAAAACCAAACTGACCCTCTTCCCTCTCAAATCAACCCTCTTTCATTTTTTCATATGTGTAGGACATTTGTATTTTTTCACACAGCAGGATCTAAATTCCTGTGGCACTCCTTCACATCTTGGAGTCAATATATTATCACAATCTGTTGATTTCTATTTCAGAACATCTCAAAAACTTTAGTTTGTTTCTCCCATCCCAAAGTTAATATCTCCCAAGAAGTTGAAATACCAATGGGCTCTCCTTTTTCTAAATTTGATACTCATTCACATCTTCAATGATTTATTTTTATAATTATAATAAATATTTACTATATTCTTTTTTGTTGAAATGTCATAAGTGCGGTGTTGTAAAGTTTATAAAGGTAATTAATGCGAGGTCCCTCACCTTAATTCTATATAAAATAGTTTCTACCACAAATTATATATATGAAACTTTATTCTATACACCTATTTTCATGATATGTGTTAAATTTTCATGATATATGTTATGGTTAGATTTTAAATGTCCCCCAAAAGTCTCATGTGTTCAGAGGTAGGGCTTTTGGAAGGTGGTTAGAACATGAGGGTACTACTTTCTGAATGGACTATTAGAAAATGGACCAAGTTAAAGGAAGTAGATTACTGGGTGTTGCCATTGTCCCTGGTACCTCTCTCTCTCCCTCTTTCTTTATGGCTCTTCCATCTCTGCTTTCCAGCTGCCACAAGATGAGCAGCTTTCTTCTGCCATGCTCAGAGAAAAGAGCAATGGAGCCCACTGACCATAGACTAAAACCTCTCAAAACATAAACCAAAATAAATCTTTCCTTCTTTAAGAGGTGTATATCAGATATTTTGTTGGCAGTGATGAAAGGGTGACTAAGATAGAAAATTGGTACCAGGAGTGAGGCTGAAGCTGCAATGAAGACACTAGGAAGTGGATATGCTAGGATTGTGGAGTATGTGTTGAGGAAAGCTACAGTACAGACAGAGCCAGCCCAAGAGAGAAGTTATGGGGCTGCAACCAGAAAGACTATAGAGAGAGGGCTGCCCAAGCTCTTCAGTGCTCACATAACACCAAGTGCCAGGGGGCAGACATGGAGCTAGAGATCCTAATGTCTGCCATGTTGGCTTTTGGTCTTGCTTGGGTCCAATTCTTTTCTATGCCCCAAATTTGTCCATTTTGGAATGGGAATGTTTACCCTGGTCCATTGTTTCTTGAGAGTACATAATTTGTTTTTGATTTTTACAGGGGCTCAGAGCTAAATGTTTGCCTTGAGTCCCAAAGGAAACATTAAATTTGAATTTTTAAGTAATGATGGAACTATCAAGACTTTGGCTACTCTTAGACATGGGCTGAATGCATTTTGTATAATATGATGGGTTTCACCCCTTTGGAGGCCAGGGACAAAACACTATAGTTTAGCTCTAAAATCTCAATGTATAGCAATATATAACACCACTGATTGAGCAGGTAATTCTGTTCTTGTTACCCTGATTGTAATATTCCTAATGAGATAAGGACAAGCTCTCATAAAAAATATAGTGCCATGAAAAAGGAATCCCTATACCCCTTGAATAACACCCCTGCTGTACTAGAGAGCCTCTGGACTTTGTGCATCCTAACAAAGGGTGACAACAGTTATAATAATATGTACTCTGTGATTTGCTAATCATGGTGGTGAGGATGATACAAAAACGTGGCCAAGTTTGGGGTAGTTATACTTACATGTATTAAAAATGCATATTACTCTCTAGTATAAGGTGTGATTGAAAAATAAGGTGAATGTTTAATTTTTCTTTTTTATTATTACAGTGAAAGATACTGTGCCATTAATTGCCCTCAAAATACTCCCCCCCTAAATTTTAACACTCTTATCCCATAATTATCACCACTTTCTGAAACAGTTCTGGAAGTGTTCTTTCATGAGTATCTTTAGCTGCTCTGTAGTAGCTGCCCTGGTGTCCTAAATCAATTAAAAACATTTACCTTTCATGGCTATTTTCATTATGGAGAAAAGCCAGAAGTCACACAGTGTCAGATTCAATGAATAAGGGAAATGAGGACCACATCATAATGTTTTTACAAGCTTGCCTATCTGTAGGATAGCAATTGACAGCAGCATTCACCATATTTTTGAACCCATTCTTGAAGACACTCACATGATATATCCTTCATATGATATATCTAATCTTATCTTTTTCCAATACTATACTTGGATTTGTTTCTGTTGGACACAGTCCTTACCGGTTCACATGGGACTGATTTCAAACTACCTTCCATTTCTAGAACACCTCCCAACAATTGGATCCATTTACCTTCCTGAGTTCTTCAAGAACATCTCAGGGGATGCCGCCTACATAGAGCATCACCCATTCCCCTTAAAATAAGGTCACCCTTTTCAAGCTACCTACACCACACTGCTTTTAGCCCATACATTTCAACACTTTATTTTATTACTCCATGCTGCCTCCCACTGCTCTCTCATTGTCCCCCAAAATAGATCTAGCTCCTCAAAGCTACTACAAATAGATTCACAGCAGGGACTAAACCTTAGAAAGCTCATTGTAATTGAACTATTAATGATTTCCCTGGATCTTACAATTGCATCTGTGTTAGAATCAGTTATATAGTTTTTGCACATAATATATATTCTATTACACCAAGGTGAATAGCATTACTCAATTTATTAGAAATACCTGACGATTTTTGCAGAAAAGTAATTTCACAATATCTTTTCAGACTCTAATTTTATACATCAGATTGATGATAATCATATATAAAAGAACTCATGGACAATTATTCCTCAGGCTGTTGTCAGAAGGATTACCTTTCCCAGTGGCTACACACATTGGGGTCTTCAAGATTCAGAGGTGATACCGTCCCAATCCAGTGGCATAACAATAGACAGATAAAGCCCAGGCATGAGTTCAAAGAAACAACCATTTTTTCCTGAAGAACAACCTACAAGAAAAAAATTAAATTTGCATTAAAATCAGTCAAACAGAATTCTTTTCAGTAGAGCAATCACTCAGCACCAGTGGTCAGTAGGGTTAAAATATGCATATTTAAATAACTGGTCACCAGATTTTATGGTCCAGGAAAAAGAGGTATTTCTTATGTTGTACAGGGTGCCTACCATTCTGTAAATTGCTGAAATGTGCAGATCATCCTTAATTATCACCACAACAAAAGCCCTTCTCAACCATGCCCCCTGACATTAAAGGAATCTACCAGAACAACTCAGGGTAATGCAGGCTTTCAGATTCTCTCACCAGGCACATTTCACTCTGGAAGAAGAGGGTCCAAAGAGGAATCTGGCCTCGTTTGTCCAGAGAATAAATGATGACACAGAAGCTCCTTTGACTTTACAGAGAGACACCTCGGGCAACAAACTGGGATTCATTCAATGTTCACAGTACTGCATGCCTACTTGATTCTAGTCGCTACAAAATATATATATATATAAAATATAGAACTAGCCCCTTTCCCTGCCCATTAAGCTGCCTACAATTTAGTCATCATAACTTAAATGTAGTACCTTGGTTTCTTCATCTTCTGAATAAAAACAAAAGCCACTATCCTACATTGGTTTCTAAAAAATATACATGTAGAAAAGTGTGAAGCTGGGAGAGAGGGTCAGAGATACATTTAGGAAACTCAAATTAATTCATGATAAGAGAGAGGAGAGATGGAGAAAGACACTGGGGCAGATCAGAGTAAACCTCATCCAAGGACAATAGAGAGTTACCTGAGAGCACAGAGTGAAGACCACTGTGGCTGCAGAGGAGACTAACAAGAAGACCAGGAAAAACACAACTAGGGGTGAACTAGAAAACAGAACTTGGTTGGCAGGGAGTAGAGTGACTCTGGGAGCTTTTCTTCTGACAGGACTTGTCAACTGAGTGTAGGACTACAGGGGAAGAAAGATTTCAGTTTAACTGCTGGGAGAAACGGTCAGCCCTTCAATGAGATGGGAAGCACAAAAGTTCTCCTGTAGATTTGGGAAACTTTGAGTTCTGCTTTAGATATAAGGAGTGATTGGAAAAATATGGTGAGTGTTTAAATTTTTAAAAAAAATTTTATAGTAAAGACACTGACAAGAATAATGGGATAAGTGTATTCAAAGTGAGGGGGAGTATCTGGAAGGAGATTAATAGCAATGTCTCTTTTACTGTAATTAACTTTTTAATTGAAACAGTCACTTTGTTTTATGATTGCCCCTCATTGATCCAAAATTTATGGCAATTTCCATCAAATAAAAACATCACAGGGTGTTCTTATCCATCTTATTCACAGAATCTGGCATTGTGTGACTTCTAGCTCTTTCCTAAAGTCAAAATGACTATAAAAGGTAAACATTTTGAATCAATTCAAGTATGAGGGCAGCCACAACATAACTAAAGACATTTATGAAGGATAACTTCCAGAACTGCTTCAGAAAGTGGCAAGAATGATGAGACAAGTGTATTTGAAGTTAAAGGAAATAATTTGAAGGTGATTAATGGCAATGTGGCATATTGTAATATATCTATATGTATACATATATATATATGAATATATATACTTTTCTTTGATACCAGGGATCAAACTCAGGACCTTGCAAGGCAGGTGGCAGAACCACTGAGCTAAATTCCCAGCCCTGTAATATATTTTTAAAAATTTGAACATTTACCATAATTTTTTAATCACACTTCAGATATCAAGTTTGAGGTTTCTCTGAGGCACTCGAATGAAGCCTTCTACAAACCTTTATTGAGTTCCTACTATATGCCAAATATTGCATCAGGCAGGAGTTGTATAGCAGTTGACATAGCACGGGAATTACACACATTGCTTCACCTCCTGGAATTTAGGGCTTATTAAAAAAGAAAAAGTTTAATTGCCTTCCTATATCATCAAATCACTACACAAATGGACATGAAATTAGATCCATTTACTAATTACAAAGCAAATAAGCATTAACCTGTTTTGAAACTAGCAATAATGGGCCACATTATTTGACCAAAAAAGTTATTTTCTGGGTGAGAGCTGGCATTTACACTAATTTTCTCCCTCCTGAGATTATTAGTTTTTATCACTTGAGAATCAAATGTATTGAATAATAACTTTGTAGTTTGAAAAAATAAGAGTATCTTAAAACAAATAAATAATAAATAACAATAACAGCAAAAAAACAGGATATAGTGTATCCTATAAATTCAGGATTACAGATGAAGGAAATACTAAATTCCTCAAAATCAGAATTGTTTAGAAGGACAAGTATTTTAAGTACACATAACTCCAACATATAAAACATAAATAGCAAACTATGACTTGTAGATTAATTCAAAGTATTTTTATTTCTCACAGGTTCATGATATGAAGTTGTGAAATCTGAAGTTTAATATAATGTAACTAAAGAAGCTATTCTGTTTAACAGGAGCACATAAAAAAATGATGATAATGATAATAATAACAGTAGCTAACATTCCCTGCCTAATTACTATGTGCTAAATACATTACGTGAACTATTTAATCCTCATAGCAATTCATCCAAAAAGTAGGGATTTTTGTTGGCCCCATTTTACAGCTGAAGATAGAGAAGATTCAGCTAGTATTTCCCTCATCTGACAGAAAAAGAAAGCTTTAATGTTGTAATATGTTTAATATATTGTAACAAGTAAGCAAAGCAAATATCTCTCTGTGTCATAGCTTTTCTTTGTCAGGATAAGTATTTCACTTCAATGAAAGGTGAAATATATATATATTAGTTTTCTTTCATTCTGTCCTACAAATTAAAAAGAAGGCTGGGAGGCAATAATCTGCCATCTACTCATAAGCAATTACACTAAATTGGGGAGTTTATTTCCTGAGTCACCATCTCAAATCAAACCATCCATTTACCAATTAGAAATGTTTAGTCTGTAAAGCTAGAAATTGCCACAAGAGAATCAAATTGCCAAGAAAAAGAAAGAAGTTGTGCATTCTCTTTTAATGTAAAAATCATGACACTGATGTTCAGTTTCTTTTCATGCTTTGCACTGATGCGTTCCCCTGTGAATGGAAAGAGCAGGAAAATGGCAGAATTTGGTCACCTCCTCATTGCTTTAAAAATGCAGCATTCAGAAATAGTGAACTGCACTGCTAAGTTGCAGAGGCATTTGTGGAAGAGAAAATATCAGCACACTAGTGTGAGTGTGTGTGTGTGTATGATTATTCATATAAAATGCTTTGATGTCTTCACCCCAAAGCATTTTACTAATTTAAATTAGAAATTAACTGAATTCTGGAATATTCTGTATTAGAGACTAAAATGACAAAAAGTGAAAAGAATTGCTAGATCAAAATGCAGGGATCATGCAAACTTACATAAGCTAGTTAAACCTGAGAAAATACTGCAAATGTTATATATAGTGGAGAGAGAAGACTTTCACAACATGCTAATAAACTATAAATAACTGTAACAATGATACATTTCATTATATTCAGAAATGTGAACTGTCTTTTTGTTTCAGCTTGTTTAATGAAGGCATTGCTATGCAATCCAAATAAGCAAATTGATAGGACACAGCATGTACCCTTCCCATATTTTATTTGTTTTTTCTATATGTTTTGAGGAGCATGTGTGGGTTCCCTTGATGCCTGTCCTGAAGGAGAAAAGGTCCAATACACTTTTCTTCTTTCTTTCTGCTATGCTGTTATCCTATCTACATTATAGCTTTACCCTTTCGAGTACAAATTAAAACAAAATACAATTGTTAAGAAATAGCATTATTTCAATTGACAAAGGCAATATATTGCTGATTTACTTCATTAAAATAGATATCTTGAATATATTCAAAACTCTAAGTTGGGTATTAAACTGCTCTCACCTACCCAGTCTTCATCTTCAAATAACTTTCCTTAGGATTCCATTTAACAAAATTTTACATGTAAAAAAATTATTCATTTGCATGAACCCCCTAGTGCAAACTTGATTGCGTCCCAGATCATTCACTTAATTATCATGGAAAAATCAAAACAGAAAATCAGTACCACTGATTAGCATTGCTAAAGAGCTCCTATTAAGAAGACGAAATACAGCCTGTGGAGTTAACTCTTCCTATTTCAAGGCTCCACTCAGAAGGTAGGTTTTGCTTATTCTGCCGAAAAAGTCCCGATAAATAACCAGGTTGAATAAAATACTTACAATGGATGCCTCTGAGCTCTAATAATAGACAGTGGCTTCTTTTTCTGTGTGTTAAGGAGAAATAGATGAAAGGGCATTGAGTTGCTCATTTATTTTTACAATGAAGAGGGATAAATAATTCTAGACAATTATTTTTGGCTCTAAAGTCTATTATCTTTCTAGAATCATTGAGTATACACATAGGAATAACTTGGGTGCCCTCATCCAGTTTTTCTCAAGCCTACAGACCTTCAAATTAAAACTGATGTCTCAATTAAGAACAGCTGCTTTTACACAATCAATTTTCCTCCCTGGGTACCAAGAATCACTTATTTCATTTGTTCACTCTGATATAGGAGAAATATAACTCCCAATGTGCCAGCCATCAGATATGCCAAGTCCATGTCCCCCGAATATGAAAGAATGAATTCCAAAGAACTATAAAGGATAAGAGTAGGAAAGGTTTATTGAGAGATACCTCCTGAAAGACAGGAAGGGTCCTGAAAGTGGGTGGCCGCTGAGGTCCTTTATCAGCGGTAATTTATACAGCAAAGTCACAATATGGGTACAATGGGGTCAAATTACAGGTACAGTCAACCTATAGGATTACAAGTATAGCCGCTTAGCAAATATTGATCCAGTTGGGAAACTAGTCACATAGCAAGGATACATGGAAAGAACAAAGGCATTCTTGGGAAGGGGTGGGTCTGATGCTCTAGTCATCCGCTTGGGTGGCCGATGCCTAGCTGGACTTCCTGGACCAAGTGGTGCTAATTACAATATAATCTCAAGTTATTGTTTGTCCCTTAGAGAG